AGTAGGAGCATCTACTAGGGGCTCGGGCTGCTGGTCAGCTGATGAAGCGGTACGTGTTCTCACCATCTCCGAAAAAATAGAGTGGAAGCTCAATTAGCATTAAGAAATCAAGTTGCACTATAGGAAAGAATAGATGTAAAGTTTTTCCTAACTCCGTAGCCTCTGAGGATAAACACAGACGTCTCCATACCGATCCCTCAGACTCTACTAAGCTTGTCCTTGAATTGTGAGCCCTAAGAAACCTAGAGCCTTGATACCAACTTGTCACAACCCGGATTTTCCACCCTCGGAAGTCGTGATGGTGCCTACTCGTAAACGCTAGGCAAGCCGAGTGTTACAGATTTTATTACCCTTTTTCCTTGACCTTTTAACAATTACAAATTAACATGTGATAAACAGCTGGATAATAATAAGAGAAATGCGGAGGACGAAATCTAATAATTTAACTTAATACAAATACGATCCCATAGAAATAATCCACCCAGAACTAGTGTCATAATCTCATGGACTATCTAAGAATACTACAAATAGGGTCTGAACGAAGAAATACATGACTGTCTCAGAAGTAGATAAAACAGAATGGAAATGATAGAAAGGGATGCCAAGGCCTGCGGACGTCTGCAGGACTATCTCAGGTCTCCGCTGGACTGAAGGCAGCAACCTCACTGTGATCCAAATGCTCCAGCACCGGGATCTGCACACAGTACAGAGTGTAGTATCAGCACAACCGACCCTATGTGCTAGTAAGTGTCGAGCCTAACCTCGGCGAAGTAGTGACGAGGCTAGGACAAGACTACCAAATAAACCTGTGCAGTTAAATCATATACGATAAATAATAATAACAGAAACTAGCAGTTAAAGATGGGAAGGGGGAACATACTGTGGGGAATATCAAGTGCCAACAGAATTTTAGTAGAGAAGCATAAGGAACATGATAATTTCATATCAACAAGAATAAGGAAAACAATAGCAAATCAATATTCACTTTTATTCTTTCTTATTGCAACGCGCAACCCGATCCCAATCATATAATACTGTTGCGGCGTGCAACCTGATTCCAATCATATAATACTGTTGCAGCGTGCAACCCGAACCCAATTATATAATATTGTTGTGGCGTGCAACCCGACCCTAATCATATAATGATGTTGCGGCGTGCAACCCGACCCCACTGTCCTCCCTTATTACTCTTTATTGCGGCGTGCAACCCGATCCCATATCATATAATGTTGTTGCAGCAACCCGATCTCCATATACAAACCAACACCAATCACAAAAGATTTCCGGCAAGGGAACAATAGTATAACAATAATATCCCGGCAAGTGAAATAATATTATAAGCAATAACATCCCGACAAGGGAAACAATATCATAAACAATTACATCCCGACAAGGGAAACAATATCATAAACAATTACATCCCGACAAGGGAATCAACAATATATCTCATCTCGTTTCCACAATCACTTCACAACCTAAGTCTCAACTTGAGCCAACTCTCCATAATGGTTAATTACCCAGAATACTTTCATAAGCCTTGTTCAATATTTATAATCATCGTATTAAGCATGGACAATGCATAATGGAGTCACAACAATCATAGTATAAGACTCACGAGCATGCTTGACACCAACGTATAAATACTTGTCACCACACATATACGTCGTACTCACCACTTAACACATAGCAAATAAGACCATAACTTCTATTCCCTCAAGCTAAGGTTAGACCAAACACTTACCTCAATGCCACGAATACAATCAAGCCTCAACTACCGCTTTACCTCTCGGTTCCACTTCCTATTCGCTTGTATCTAGTCACAATTTATTTAACGATATTAATAATTGCTAAATAAATCAATTCTAATGCATGAAAATAGATTTTCTAGTGATTTTTTGAAAGTCAAAAATTGATCCCGGGCCCACTTGGTTGAAACCCAAAGTTCGAACCAAAACCCTATCACCCATTTACCCACGAACTCAAATATATAATTTATTTTAAAATCGAATCTCAAATCGAGGTCCAAATCCCCAAAATTTAAAAATTCTAAGTTCTACCCAAAAACACCCAATTTTCCCATGAAAACCTTTGATTTTGAAATGAAATCATGAAACATAGATGTTATAGATTGAAGAAAATAAGTTAGAAATTACTTACTAATGATTGGAGAAGAATCTTTCTTTGGAAAATCGCCCAAGAGAGTTTAGGATTTGAAAGAGTTTGAAAAATGGGTGAAATCCCGTTGAAATCTCATTTAGTAGGTCTCAGATGTTGCAATTGCGGCAAGGGTTCGCAATTCCTATCAGCTTCGCATTTGCGAAGGAATAGTCACATTTGCGACCCCTGCCCCTTTCGCATTTGCGACCAAAATGTTGCATTTGGCATGACCTACCCAGGCTTGGTTCGCAATTGCGACGCCTGGGTCGCATTTCCCAAGCTTGAGAACTTCGCATTTGCAAAGTCTGATCTCGCAATTGCGAGATCGGAGGCCTATTACACAGCTGCAATATACCAGCAATTTCCCTAAGTCCAAATTCACTCTGTGTGTCCTATCCAAAACTCACCCGATTCCTCGGGGCTCCAAACCAAATATGCACGCAAGTCTAAAAATATCATACGGACTTGCTCGTGCGATCAAATCATCAAAATAACATCAACAACTACGAATTCAACCTCAAATTCATAAAATTACTCAAGAACATAAAAATTTCCATTTTCTCAACTATATGTCCGATTTATACCAAACCAATTCCGATCTTTACCAAATTCAACTAAATCATTATTTTAAACTTGTACCAGGCTTCAGAACCAAGATACGGGCCCGATACCATCAAGAAAATGCATCATTTCACTTCTAAAACCTTTATATTTTTCAGCAAACAATTTTCTTTAATAATTCTTTTCTCTGCTTGGTACCTCGGAATTCGATTCCGGGCACACGCCCAAGTTTCATATTTTATTATGGATCCTACGAGAACGTCGGATCACGGGTTCGAGTCCGTTTACCAAGAATGTTGACCAAAGTCAATTTTAATCAACTTTAAAGGGCAATTTCCTTATTTTACTTAGATTTCATATAAAAGCTTTTCGGAAATGCGCCCGGACTGCGCACATAAATTGAGATGAAATAAAAAGAGGTTTTCAAGGCCTCGTAATACAGAATTGACTTCTAAAGCAAGTGATGACTTTTGGGTCATCACACCAAGCTTTTAAAATGTGTTTTAAGTGTAATCTTCTCAAAAGTACTTTTCAAAAAAAAAAACTTTCGAAGAGAAACTATTTTTTTCTGCTTCTCAAAAACTGCTTCTGCTTCTCCTCCTTTCAAAAGCTTAGCCAAACACCTTAATGTTAGAGGAAAAAAAATAATTTTGCCTCAAAAGAAGCTTGGCCAAACAAGTTCTTAGCATTTTCCAAGAGACAAAAGTGGAAGCATAAAATTAAATTTTTCAAGATGAAAATATCCTTACCATAAATTTATATTTCTCAAATTATTTCTCATTAATTTAATCTTTTTCTTTTTTCTATTTATTCTACCATCTTTTTTTCTCTTTTTATTTTCAGTATCTTTATTCTCCTTCTTCTATTTCTTTTTGGAACGATCTCTCTACTATAAATGATATTTTCTTTTTTCTTTTATCATTTTTTTATTTGTCTCCTATTCCTCTTTGAAGAGAATTAGGGATGACCTTGTTGAAAAATATTATCACACGTGAGAATTTTTTTTTATTTCATTGTGAATTTTCTATATATAGTGATTGTTACCGAGTAGATTTTTTAATTTATAGTAAATATTATAATTTTATATCTATATATGCAACAACAACATAAACAACAATAATAATTACCCAATAAAATCTCACAAAGTGGGATTTGGAGTGGGTAATGTGTACACAAACCTTACCCCTACCCCGATAGGGCAGAGAGGCTGTTTCCGATAGACCCTCGGCTCAGAGAAGAATATATTTATATATGCATATAAGTAATAAATAATTATGCTAGATACATAATATTGTCGAGATGGTATTATAATATTTTATATTAATTAAAATATTTTATATATATTTTTACTTTATATTTTATTTAAATAAAAATAAAAAATTAATTAAATTCTCTTATATAAATATTTTAATTTATTTCCTCTTCTAAATAATACTAATTGTATACTTAACCTTAACACCTTTTTTCGTAATTTGATAATTAAAGGTACTTTTTGAATAGATTGACCAAACTCAATTTATTTATCAAATATTACAGAAAGTACTTCTTAAATAAATTGGCCAAACACAAACCGCTACTCTCTAGAAATATTTTTTTTCGAAATCAGCACTTGTTCGAAAAGTACTTTTGAATATAAGCATCTTGCAAAATAATTAATTTTTGACAGCTTGGCTAACATGCTCTTAAATAGCATACATGTCAACATACAAAAAATTATTATTGGTAATTGATAAAATTTATTAGGTAATCTGAGATGATTTCCTAGTTTTTTTTAATTAAAGACTTTGAAAGATTAAAGAAAATTATTCCTTTTTTAACCATAAAGTATAAACAAAATCTTCAAACAAACAAGTGTATTCTTCTTTCTTAAAATTCATAAAACTGATATTCCTACATAAGAACATTTTATTTATAATTTTAGTTTGTTATTTAGTTATTCTATTTGAATATGCTTAGTTACCCATATACCTCATGTTTTTCAAAGTTAAATACTTAACACATTTGTGAAATGGAAATATTATTCAAGGGGATTAAAGGTATGATTTGAAATATAAATGATGAATCTGCAATTAAATCATATTAATACCTAATTCTATAAAAGTAAAATATAAACTTGATGTGACAAAAGCATATAAAGATGCATGTAAACGGTCACGTGTTCATTATTTTCAGTGCAAAGGGACTTCTCCTCCGCTTCATTCCCAACAACTAAAAGCAGCTCCACCACTTCCGTTTCCGTTTTTCCGTTTTCCCTTACCCTATTTCGTGTCCTCCTTTTATCCATGGATTCAGGCCGCGGCGGCGGAGCCAATAATTACCGGTACCTTCGGAAACCACCGTCTCGCGATCGGCTCCTCGGCATTTTCGCGACCGCTCGCTCATTATCCCAACCCTCTACCTCCAGCTCCACTTCCCCTTCCACTTCCGCCGCTGGAGATGAGCTCAGCGAGCACGACATCTTCGACGCGCCATCCGACGTGTCCTCTGAAGGCATTCACCACTCTGTTCCTTCAACATCTACGAGCCCCAATCCTAATCACAATCGCTCCCCTAACCATCGCTCTCACCACAAACATTTCGGTATTCTAGCCGCGTTGCCGGAGTCTGAGTCCCACGCCCCGGCTCTGCTCTCCGTCTCTTCGTCCTCTTCTTCCTCCACATCGTCTGCTCGTTTGATTCCTACAATACCTAAACGGCCGCCATCGGTGGATCGGATTAAATATCTCCAGTCCGCACCGGTGAATGTGCCTGTAGTTTCGGCAGCAGGGGGGCGAAGAAGACGCCATTTCGACGACATTGACGATGATGAGGATGATGACGTGGATAATGGCGAGATGTTACCGCCGCATGAACTTGTTGCATCGAGGCAGACGCCGATTTTGGCATCCTCTGTGCTTGAGGGAGCTGGGAGGAAGTTGAAAGGGAGGGATTTGAGGCAGGTCCGAAATGCCATTTGGCGGAAGACAGGTTTTCTTGACTGACTTTTTAATAAATTTGAGATAGTTGCTAGGTTTCTTCCTCAATTTGTGTCCGAATATAAAATTTTGAATCTTGTAGGGCTGAATTGATAAGCTATGATTAGAAATTATTCTGCTTTAGTAATTTTGATTGTCATCTTGTGACACCATCGTGATTCGTGGCGTGTTATCAATTAAAATGAGCTTGATTTATGGGAAAAAAAGCTTGATGCTTTTTTTCTAAGATATTAGCCCAATTTTAGTGCATTTGTATTAAAGATGAAGGCGAATCGAGCAACTTATATGGATAAACTGGATAGAAAGAAGGGGAAAAAAAGCACTCATAGCATTTGCAGCTGCTTCAAAACGACTACCTCTACTTCTATATTTAACTAAAAGTGAACTGCCAGTCTTGCCTGTTTGAGCTATTGAGAGCTGGAAAGCACGCTGGCTGTCTGAGTTGCGAAAAGGCCAATTGCCTAATATTTCCTCTTCAATAACATTACAAAAAGGTGTGTGTGTATTTCTCAATTTCTCCCATTGTGTACAGTTAAAGTGCTGGTCTCATGAATAATCTGAAAATTAGCCTTATTTCGTGAACACCTTGTCTACCAAACTTACAGCTTCTTGTTGTGGAAGGTTTATCTATGTTATAAAGAGGGATGTGCAGTTTTGTTGCTGAGACACTGTTCCCATTCTAGAAACCAACACGTAGAGAGGAGAGAGCGTATCTATATCTGCTTTGTTTCTTGATTTTGGACTCAACCCATTACTAATGTTTTTTTGTTGAAAAAGACTGAGTTTCTTTGATATATCAAGATCCGATCCTTAGGAGAAAAACCTGATAACTGGTATTCTTCTTCCTTCCGCTGTATAGACATCCTTAAGGTACTACAACTTCTGCTTTGCACTACTAGTAGCAGTCTGTCGCCCGAAATATAATCAGATCCGTGGCATCGATATGCTTGCCTGTGAAGTTTCCATCTCAAACTTTTGCAACGGCAAGTATTCTTGCTCTGTGCTTCTCAAGCTAAGTACTGCTCTTGAGCGTAATGGCATGAGCTTGAGCGAACATGCCAATGAAATTACAATAAGTTAAGCTCTTGAGGCTAGAGAAGCTAGAGTGCTCAAGAAACTTGCTATTCAGTCCTAACTATGTGACATACTTCATCTTTCGCGTCAAATTTAAACCTTCTTATGAAAATGATTCAATCATTTTTGCATACAGAGGATATATGTAATTTGAAAACATGTTAAGGGCAATGTATTGAAAGGCGAGTTTAAGGTGCTCCTTGGGGCATTCTGGTGCAAGGTGCAGTGACGTTGGCTCAAGGTTCGCGTGAAAGGCGCACACTTTGGGGTCGGTAGGACGTCTGGACTTCACGCCTAACAGCATGGTGTGCCCCCAAGAGGAGATGAAAACTGCGTAATAGGCCTTCAATTTTCAAAATCTCTTTGTTTACCCTGTATCTAAATGCCTCTTTAATGAATTTTTCGTTATCTGATATGCAAGATATTTATAAAAAAGAAGATAGACAAGAAGTTGAATGATAGGGCCTCGTTTTCCCGAGAGACTTGTCTATAGAAGTAGAGGGGTGATGCGAAGTTCGAACTGCTGGAGGTCTAATGCTTAGATGCTGTATATTATGGCATTGGTTGTAGTTCCCATGACGCTCTTATGCATTAAAACCTTTTTGTGTGCCCAAATTTGGAAGGAGATTGTGTTTTGGGGCTTGCATGATTCCGAATAAATGAACTGTGTATTGCATAATTCTTAAAATGGAAATAGGTAATATGCATAAATTAATGGAAGCAGACGAACCTGATGATCCTCGACTGCTTCTAAAAAGTTCCATGGTCTTACTTTAACATCATTAGTGTCTAAATGTTGTTGATTGCCATTGCTTGTTTTCTATTCTTATCTTCTGCAAAGTGATTATCACATTCGAGGTCATTTTTCTTGGAGAATTTAGCACAGGAACTTCAAAGATTTGTTTTAGGTGCATAAACGTAAAGAGATCCCGTGAGCTAGGTCATAAAGGATTTCTCACTAGCATTCCTTCATCAATGTGATTCAAATGCATTGATTTCCATTGTTTTAAAAGGCGTAAGAACTAGTTTGACTGCTTTGAATGTTGGATCTGAACTAGTCAGATATGGAATTGAAGGAAAAAAAAAATTTGACCATGAAGTTTGTTTGTCATACTTGTCAAATAGTGCTGTTGGAACGTTTTTGTTTGAAGGTAGTAATTTGTATGTTAGGATATTATATATTTTGGGTTGTAAGCATGTTGTTAATTTGGCTCAGGATACTTTTTAAATTTTCTCATCATGTAGTATGTTACATATTTTTACACAGTTTTCCCGCAATTTCTTTGACATTTTCATAATATAAAAAACATTCAAATTAAATATTTGCGACCTGCTTGCTCCATGTCTTATAAAATGTCTTGCACTGTGTTCCTGCCTTTTGCAAAATCCCTTGCACTGTGTTCCATGTCTTATCAAAAAGTTCTATTTAAAGTTTAATCTGCCTGATTTTCGGTAAACACACTGTCACATAATTTGATGGATTGTATTATTAGTGGTGAAATTTAGTTTGTGTATTCATCATATCATCACATCATATCATACTATATATATATTGTAAGTGTGAACCCCAAAATTGAAAATTGAATTACCAAAATAACCTTATAAAGTTAAGTGACTATAATACCCTTCAACATAATATTATTTCAATTATAATTTTGTATAAAGATGTAAATATACATTCTACGAAAATTAATTAAAAAGATAATATTTAATTGAAACAAAGACAAAGTTAGCAACCCTTTGATCTTCATCATTAAAAAGTAACCTCCTATTAAATGTCAAATAATTTTCCACTAACATGAATGTGGTTAATTGAAAATCCTATTAAATGATGACTTATAACAATATGTTAATTTATTGTAAATCATAAAGTTTAGAAGTTAATTACCTTGTATTTTCCATTTATTTGTGCTGCTAAATAATGAGCTAATAAGAATTATTTGTCATTTGTGATTTATTGGTTAGCTTTTATTTTTGAGAAAATTTTACTTTATACCCATTAATTCTAAAATATCTACCCTTTAATGCCTAGACCCAAACTATTTACTGCTCCTATGGGTATAAAACTATTTATCCGGTTTTTTCCTTGCCATCCATCTTTCTTTCTTTTATCGTCCAGTTATAGGTCAGTCCCATCTACCACATTTTAATGCGGAATGCATCTCTCCTGTATTTCATCTTCAATTTTCCACGATTTGATTGCCTTCCCCCCTTTTTTGACTATTCTGCAATTTACACCCTATATTTTTCTTCTTCTTCTTCTTCTTCTTCCAATTTTGTTCACTTTTGGCAAATTGCGGAATGAAAGTTAAGAGTCCGTTTGGCCATGATTTTTTTTTTACTTTTCCTCAAAATTTTTTTACTTTTTTTCAAAATTAATGTTTGGCTATAAAATTTTTAATTTTCACTTGAATATAAATTTTAGAATTTTTCAAAAATTTGAAAAATTCCAAAAAACTGTTTTTTAAAATTTTCACTCAAATCATTTACAAAAATTCAAGAACAACCAAAATTATATTCATGTTCAAACACAACTCTAATTTTTAAATACCTTTTCACTTGAAAAAGTTTATTTTTTTTAAAAAAATTTACGATTCTTATGTCCAAACGCACACTAAGTTTATGTTTAAGGTCGAACTAATGTATTAAATTTAGTTGAAGTGCAACTTTTATGTCTGTGTATGTTCTTGTTAATTGAGTTAGAAGTAAATTCATTTATGAGTCAATTAGGATTATCTACTACTGCAAATTGACTAACGAAAAGTTAGAAAGTTATATAAATTGCAATTATTGTTTATTACCTTAACCATATTTAAAGTGGGTGCTATTAAATATTGCTTATAGTACCTTCTAGAAGTTCATACTGAAATTTGATAGCATTTGGAGCTGATTTGAGGTGATTGAGATTAAAATTTTCAGTTGAAAATCGAAGAAGAACACTGCTACAGTATACCGCTACGGTATACAATATGGTGTAGGAGTATATAGCTATACTGCAACAGTATACTATTATAGTTTATAATATACTACAACGGTATATTGTAATAATCGAAGAACACAGTTACCTAACAGTATACCGCTATAGTATACAGTATACTATAGGAGTATATAGTTATAATGCAACAGTATACCAGTATAGTATACAATATATTCTTATAGTATACTGTAATAATATGCAATATACTGTAACAGTATACTGTAATAATATACAATATACTATGATAGTATACTTATTACACGTAAATTCACTTGCCTTTTCCCTTTTAATTTGCTTTAAGCTTTTACNCTGGTATTATTTCAGTTTAATAATTGAATTAAATTTTTTTAACTCTTTGCGTACAATTGTATACCATGTTGGTATAGCTATATACTATACTGGTATCATATATTAATTAATATTTTTCTGGTTGTATTAGCTACATTTAATTGGTACACAATTTTTAGTAATAATATAAAAATAGAATAATAAAAAATAGAAAAAACAATAAATGAAATTAGATTATGAAGAGAAAAAGAATATAAAAAAAGAAGTTAAATGAAATTAGAAAAGGAAAAAAGAAAAAAATAAGAAGAAAACGAGAAAAAAAGAAGAGAAAAAAAGAAGAAGCATATAAATAAAAAAAATTGGAGAATAAAGAAACAATTCCCCACAAAACCTACTATGAATAGGAAATGTAATTAGTTTATGGGTAGAAAAATAAATGGATAGACAAGGAAAAATAGTTTTGTTTTTTGTGGGTAACTGTGTCAAAACCTCTTTGTTTTTCGAAAATTAACTTCTTCTAACCTTCTATGCATGTATCACCATTTAAGATCTAGCTTTTATAATTTCATAACCGGTTTACAACAAAACAAATAGCAAACTTAGTTACATTAACCAATGTTATCTTCATTTTTTTTTTGTAAAATATTTGGAGAATTTGAGGAGTCGC